AATTTATTCCTATGATGCAAAGCTGAATTTTCAGCAGCCATTACTTTAGTCTTCAATGTCACATAATCCTTCAGAAATTATTTTAATATGCTGATTTGGTGGTTAAGAAAGATGTATTATTATCAATGCTGGACACTGTTTAATATTTTTGTAGAAACCTTTTTTTTTCAGGATTATTTCATGAATAAAAAGTTCAGAAGAACAGTGTTTATTTGAAATAGAAATCTCTTGTAGCATTATGTCTTTACTGTCACTTTTGATCAGTTGGATGCACCCTTGCAAAAAAAAAAAAAATTATAATAATCAAATACTGACCCCAAGCTTTTGAAAGCTTCATCTTGTGTGTAAACAACTTTTCCCTTTAGAATCTGTAAGTAAACAACAAAAAGGTTGTACAACACACTAAAATGGCATTTTCTAACATTTATATAAATGTTCAGATCAACAAGATTGAAGTGATTGCAGCTGTGTTTCTTTCAGAAAAATGGCATCCCTCCGAACTACGGTGCCAAAAAAAGCATTTGAGCCCCAGAGAGCTGACACTAATAAGCCCTCAGGCAAGGCCTCTGGACTGATATGGTGAGCTGAGAAATGTGAATTAGAAATGAATGATTTTGAACACTGAACACAGACACTTCTGACTTATATGAGGCATATTGTCCATGCTAGAGGTCCCTTTATGAATTAGTTTGCGTGTGTGTTAATGTGCGGATCTCAGGTGTTTATCCTCTAGTGTTAAAACGCAGCTGGTCCTGCTTTTAAAAGACATTTGCATCATTCGCACAATGCTAAGCCATCCATTAAACGTGAAGCCATCCAGTAGGGTCATAACTCTTGCCACTTGAAAAGAAAGTTGTTCATGTTTGACGAGTTTTACGTTGTGAGAATCGAAAACTTTTGTATTAATGTGAATATTCTGTATGCGAGTACTGTGGATACTGTGGCATTTATGAAGGTCAAAAGCTTTTCACTTGTGTGGGGGTTGCTAGTTGACATCAGTTAACGTTCATCATTCTAGTTTAAAAGAGAAGCGAAATTCAATAATATTTGATGTCCATATATAAAGATGCTGCAGTATTCCATTAGTCAGAATAAACCGATAGCTTCATAATCATTTTAATGAACAGTATAAAAAGGACATACTATTAGGCTAGTCATTGGCCTGAGATTAAACTGTAGGATACTAGATCCAGCGACCATTCACCAAGATGATTTATACTCTACTGTTCAAACGTTTGAGGTCAGTAAGATTTCATTTTTATAAATCAGTACTTTCAGTCAGCAAGGATGCATTGAATACATCAACTTGACAGTAAAGACTTTTACATTACAAAAATGTTATTTAAAAAAAAAAAATGTAGGTCAGTTTCCACAAAAACATTAAGCAGCACAACCGTTTTTCAACTGTTTATTAATATTGATAATAAATGTTCCTTGAGCATCAAAATAGAATTTCTGAAATCTGACACTGAAGACTAGTAATTTTTGCTGAAAATCCAGCTTTGCCATCACAAGAATAAATCATTTTAAAATATCAAAATAGAAAATAGTTAATGTAAATGGTAATATTTTACAGTATTACGGTTTTTACCGTTTTTTTTTTTTTTGCTCAAATAAGTGCAATCACAGCTCACACTTATCAGGATTATATTTCAGGTTATATTTCCACCAACGTGTTGCAGTTCCTAGAAAAAGTTTACAAACAATGCTTTTCCTTTCTTGCCAAACACTCTTTTTCTTGTTCGAGAGTGGTAATTTGGACCCTGTCGAAACAGTCAGATCTCTACTACCACCACCTGCCCAAAACAAGGTAGTACTACACACGACCAATAAAAATGCCCTGATAGTAGCAGCAGCAAATAAATCACCAAAGGTAAACAAGACATATGAGAAAGAAAAGAGCAACAGATTTTAGAATTGGTAAATTGTTTATTCCTTTTTTTAATTGAAGGTTTACCATTTTCTTCATTTTATAGAAAACGGAGAAAAAAGAAATGGCCTTTTACAAACATTTACAAATAAATGACAAGTGGCTGTACAAATAGGAACTGAAAGAGAAAGACAAAAGAAAGGAGGGAGGGCGAGTTGCATCACCACTTACAGCAACTTTTAGTTGTAGAAGTAAAAATGTCCAGTTTTAAGTTGACTGCCATTCAAACCTTGTGCTTGATCAAAATTGTCCCAAAATGTGAGTTAACCCATACGTTCCTCTTTCCTACCACCGGCACAAAGTTTACAAACATAATTAATAAATGTATTTAACAAATTAATTCTTAAAAAAAAAGGCATTGTTATTTTTGTCCATTTTTATTAGTGTCCATGTCTGCTTTAAAATCAGTAAAGCTACGGCAGACCGTTAGCACATGTGCAGGCCAGGGTCAGGGGTAAAACATCAAAAAGTCAAAGGTGAAGTGCTATTTCAAACGCAGCAATTCGAGCTGATCCTGGTACTCAGTGAAGAGTCTCTGGAACCGCAAGTTCTGACCAATCACAGGCAACACCTCTGTCAACAGATCCCTCTTTCTCAGTCCCTGAAATAGACACAGAAGACAGAGCAAGCTTTAAAAATGCTTTTGAAAGACAAGCTTGGTTTAATCGATAAATGCAACACTACCACCAATAATTCAGTACATAAATCTGTAATGAGGTTCCAAAAAAAAATATCATACCAGGACTGTCGGCTCCCAGGAGCTGCTGCTGGATTTGTGAACGGGTCCTAGTAAGTCCTGACATAGTTCCCTTAACCTCAGCTCATAACCTGCACGGATACACACAGAGCTATTGAAAATCTGCTCCGATTAAGAAACAAACTCATCTTCGTCTTAGATGGCCTGAGGGTGAATACATTTTCAGCAAATTTATAGTTTTCGGGGAACTATTGCTTTACTTTTAATGGACCCTCTTGACTCTTGTTACCAGCTGACCACCTTCTCACTCACCCTCATTTACGAGGAAACGTGCGTAGATTAGAAGCCAGTGCCTGTACTCGCTTGCTGAGAGGAGGATGAGGGCGGAGGAGAGCTGCTTCTCCAGGAAGGCCAGAGTCATTCCCTGCTGCAAGTGGTGAGGAGTCGATGACAAGCGAGATGCCAACCGCCCCGCACTGACACAGACAAAAGAGAGACGGTTAAGGTCTGTTCACCC